CCCCCCCCCCCCCCCGCCGCCGCCGCCCCCCGGCCGCAACGCCCTCTGGCCGGCGGCCGGATGCCGGCGCCAAGATCGCGCGAGACGCGAAGGTCGCCGGCAGGTCCGCACCGCGGACAATGGGGACGCCGGCCGTCGCGGGCGCGTCGCCCCGATTGCACCCGGTGGCAATATAAACACACATGCGCCAGCGGCAAACAGACATTGACAGACGGGCGCTTGGCCACTTTTTGAGCCCCGCTGCTCCCCCAGGGCCCGGGCCGCCGCGTGCCCCGTCCTGCGGCGCTCGTAGCAGGGATTTCTGGCTCATACGGCCCGACACCCGGCCGCGGTTCCGCCCCCCCCCTCCCCCCCCCTCCCCTGCCAGCAGCCGGGGCCGGCCAACCGGCGAGGTGTCACTGGCTCCTCGCTTCCCGGCGTGTGTGGCCGTGCGCGCGTGGCCGCCACTCCCCAGCCATGCCCACGCGCGGAGACATGCGCGTACTTCGATGGTATTCAATGCCGACCGAGACACAAGAGGGCAACCCGAAATTCCCGCCCTCCGACGCCGCCACCCGGTGGCCGGCGCTTGCGGCGAAGGGCCGGGGCCGGGGCCGGGGCCGGGGCGCGGGGCGCGCGTGCCCGCGCGTTCCTCGTCACGGGCTCGCTCTCCCCCCCGGGCTCGGTGTCGGAAAAAAGTCCCGCCACCGCACGGCATCACAGCCGCGTTGGCCTCCCCCTCCCCCGGCGCACCAAGGTCGTGCGAGGTTGCATGGTGCCCGCCGTCGCCGCCGCATTCGCTCCTCGAGTCTGGCGCGCGGTGGGGGCCCAGCGCCCCACCGACGAGCACGGCCCCCCCCCCCCCCTCCCCCGCGCCGCCCCCTCCCCCGGGCCCGGCCTCCCGAAGTTCCGGCGGTCGGGAAGCCGCCGTCCAGGCCCCCAACTTCCCCGGTCGGCGAGGATAAGACCCCGTACGCTATGCGGGCGTGCGGCCACACCCGCGCGCAGGGGCAAGGGGGGAGCACCCCCCCATCAATGCCGCCGTCGTCGCTGCCGCGTCCGGGCTGGCGCCTAGCGCCCACCAGTGCCGGGTCTGTCAGGCCGGCGCGTGTCCCGGGCCGCATTGGGGGCCATCGGGGTCGGCGGGGGGCGAGGCGAGTCTCCAGGCTCCGGAACGAGCGCGCGTGCCCTTGTTATGATGCCGGCCGCGCTGGCCTGAGTGCCGGAGGCATTCACAGCCAGCGGAGAGAGGGGGGGGGGCGGGGGCCGAGAGCGCGTCTGTTGCCCGTGTGCCGGTCCCCCCCCCCCCCCCCCCCCCCCCCCCCCGAGGGGGGGGGTAGGCAGGTGACGCGATCGCCGCCCTCTCCGAGTGATCGGGCCCGGGGGTGCGTCCGGGACCGGGGGCGGGTCGCCCCCCGGGGGGGGGGGGGGGGGGGGGGGGGGGGGGGGGGGGGGGGGGGGGGGGGGGGGGGGGGGGGGGGG